GTAGGTGATATCCGATTCTTTGTTTGTTTATGTCTGTGTTTCTTTTTTCTTTTTTTCTGTTTTTGGATGTGTGTTTTTTTTGCGGGACAGGTAGGTGACATCCCATCATTTCGCTGTTTTTTTTTTAAATGTTTTTATAATATATATTTTTTAAATGTTTTTTTATTCATTATTATGATTTTTTTTTGCTTATTATTTTTTGCAGTGTATGTATATTGCTTATACAGCTTGAATTCGTTTGTTTTTCGTTTCTTATTTTTAATCACTAGTGTGATAGGTTCTAATAAGCAAGTAACACACAAAATAAAGGATTTTGCTTGGTTGCCTAAGGGGAAAATACCACCCACCCAAAAAGAAAGAAAGAAAGAAAAAAATGAGTCAGGCATATTCGTTCGCTCGATTTTGTTATTGTTAATGTAATCGAGAAAAAAAAAATATCCTAAATGTTATCAAAACTCGGTACAGTAATAGGATCTCTTAAATTTTCATAACACGCAACATATTCCTTTCCCTTCCGCGTCTGAAATATAGAAACTTAAATTCTAAGAATCACATTATTTCGTTTAATTTTAGTCCTTAATTCACCGCCTTGGCTAACTATAAAGGCGTGGACAACCTGTGATACATTTAACCAATGGTCATAGCAGTATATAATAGCATTACATTGAAAATCTAAATCATAACACTATAGTCTTTGAGTCCGATACTATAACCACTCGTCCATAACATTATATAGTTAAGTCAAGTAAGTTTATTTCGTTTTATATATAGTCGACATAACAGTATCATGATCCAAAGCTGGGTTGTTAGTACCGTAGAGTTAATTAAATGCTTCTTCATCTTAGATTCAAATGAGATTAATGTTTTTGACAAATTTTGATGAAGAGATTGAATAAGAATGAATCATTAGTGGATAGCAAAATGTAAAGGATAAGTACAACGAACTGGGTGAATGAGAGAATCAAACTAAAAGAGAGGGAGATTAGTTATCGTCAAAAAAGTAAAGAAAAAGAAAAGAGAGAAAGGGAGAGAATGCGAGCGAAAAGGAGAGTGAGAAGGGAGGAGGAAGACAGAGAGAGAGAGAGACAGAGAGAGAGAGAGAGAGAGAGAGAGAGAGAGAGAGAGAGAGAGAGAGAGAGAGAGAGAGAGAGAGAGAGAGAGAGAGAGAGAGAGAGAGAGAGACAGAGAGACAGAGCAAAGGAGAACAAAACAGAGCGAAATAGAAGAAGAAAAAAAAACAGACAAAAAAGAGACCTACAAACAAACAAATAAACAAAAAACGGAGAAAAGACCCACACAGCCCCCAAAAGAGACAGACAGACAGACACGAAACCTCCCGAGCGAGGTCTCTCCTTCAGCGCCATCCCTGAGCGACACAGACCCAAGGGCGGCTTCCCCAAATGTCCCTCGTAAGTCACTCTCGCTAGCCGTGGCACCGAGACGAGCAAAAGGCGCTACGTTGCTAGCATTTAGCGCTAATAAACACGAGCGCTGGAAGTCTCCTGTCGAGCGCTGATTGGCTGGAATTTTAAGCCTGTCTTCACTTGCTTTTTTCTTATTTATCTTTCTTCTCTATCTCTCTTCCCTATCTGTCTTATTGATTTATTTAATTATCTCTATCTATATATCCACTGATCTATTGGATGATTTGTTTGTTTGTTTGTTTATTTATATTGATATTTCTTGAATCGTTTGTTTATTCACCTACGTTATTGTTTGTTCATTGGCTTGTTTATCATGTTTATCCTTCGATTACTTCCTTTACTGATGCCTTTATTAAGTCATTTATTGATTAAGCAATTTGTTTATCTGTTGAGATTGGTAAAGTTATTAAGGATTTTTGACTAAATTTGCCTCTGAAATTGGAAAGAAGGGGGGGGGGGGGGAGTAAAAGAATTTATATCACAAAGGTTCTGCTTATTACTTCATTTTCAAAATCAAATCGATGACTGATAAGATAATCAATGATGATAATAACCCAAATATATCTAATCCCGAAAAAATGGAATGTTACAGGGTGCATGAACAGATCAATAATAATTTCAAAAATCAAATAAAAGTTATATATATATATATATATATATATATATATATATATATATATATATATATATATATATATATATATATATATACATATATATATACATATATACATATATATACACACACACGCACATATATACTTATATATATACTTATATATATATATATATATATATATATATATATATATATATATATATATATATATATATATATATATATATATATATATATATATATATATATATATATATATATATATATATATATATATATATATATATATATATATACAATCATAGGTTACATATTCCCCCTCCCTCAAAAAAATTAAATAAGAAAATAAATAAAAGAAATGAATAAACATTATAGAAATAAATGAATAAGGTAAGTACATAAGATAATGAAATAAAATAGAGCAAAAGGACGCCCTCGCCAATAATTCTCACCTCGGGAGATGAAAGTCAGCAGCGCCTCGAATTATCCAAATGCCAAATCAAAAACCCTCGCTGGAATTATCCGGATATCACCTAAATTCCAGCACGATATCGCCTCGACATTTTTAATACATCATATATACTCCTACGGTGGCAATGAACACTCCCTGACCAACCATTATTCTCTCCGCTAATATCCTCCGCAAAACCTAAATCAATTTTCTCTACGCGCATTATATACCATGATTCACACACGTAATCCGATAATTAATTTAATTAGCCACTTCGACTTTGGCTTCGACCCTCGTTCATTCCGCATTACGGCGGCTGTCAACCGTGAGAGAGAACCCGGGGCTTTGGGGCCAATAGAATGCTGTGAGAAATCGTCCCTGTCCCTCGTGTGGTTGGCTGTGTCGAATTGTGATTTTAAACTCAAACAAACATTTCACACACACTGGAGGACGGAGATGGCGCGTGGGCGTGGAGTGGTAATTAGCATCCTTAATGTTATCGTGATTGTATCATTATCTGTATCATTATTATATCCTTATTAACATTGGTTTTGTTGGCTGGGCTTGGGGGTCTTGGCGTCCCTAAGGCCTCCTGGGTTTTCTTCTGGTGTGGAAGAGAGATGGGGGTCGTTTGTTCAGTGGAGTGGGCATTCAGAGTGTTAGTGTGTGTGTGTTTGTGTGTGTGTGTGTGTGTGTGTGTGTGTGTGTGTGTGTGTGTGTGTGTGTGTGTGTGTGTGTGTGTGTGTGGTGTGTGTGTGTGTGTGTGTGTGTGTGTGTGTGTGTGTGTGTGTGTTGTGTTGTGTGTTTGTGTGTGTGTTTGTGTGTGTGTATGTGTGTTTGTGTGTGTGAGAGAGAGAGAGAGAGAGAGAGAGAAAGAGAGAGAGAGAGAGAGAGAGAGAGAGAGAGAGAGAGAGAGAGAGAGAGAGAGAGAGAGAGAGAGAGAGAGAGAGAGAGTGTTTGTGTGATTGTGTATGTGTATGTGATTGTGTATGTGTATGTGATTGTGTGCATGTACGTATGTATCAGTGCGAGCAGTGGTGTATGTGTATATGTACGTGTGCGAATGTACATACATGCAAGTATACATGCGCCTGCCCCCATATCCTCAGTCTGGAAACCCCGGTCCTTGTCTCGCCGCCTTGGCACGCAGACACGTCTCGGCATCTTCAGAGAATCCTCCGTTTGGCCAGATAACAAGATGAAACATCATGCACAGGAACAAGAAGAAGAAGAAACGCGAGAGGAAGAAGAAGCGCAAGAAAAGGGAGAAGAAGAACAAGAAGAAACACGAGAAGAAGTAGAAGGAGTGCAAGGAGAGGAGGAGTAAGAAGAAGAAGAAGAAGAAGAAGAAGAAGAAGAAGAAGAAGAAGAAGAAGAAGAAGACGAAGAAGAAGAAGAAGAAGAAGAAGAAGACGAAGAAGAAGAAGAAGAAGAAGCACAAGAAGAAGAAGAAGAAGAAGCACAAGAAGAAGAAGAAGAAACACAAAAGAAGAAACACAAGAAGAGGAAGCACAACAAGAAGAAGAACAAGAAGATAAAGAACAAGAAGAACAAAAAAAAAAGAAGAAACACAAGAAGAATAAGAAAAAACACGAGATAAAGCAACAGCAAGCATCATCACCGAAAACAACACCGCATTTCTACTTCGTTGCTCGAGACAGCGAGTCCTACGGTATCTTCCCCTCCATTTAACGTCCCTCAGGTTCCCCCCTCCCCCCTCCACCCCCGTGAGTGTCTGCCTCTGACGTTATCCTTCATCGTCGAGGCTGAGGTCTGCTTGCACTCAGCTGATCGCGTCCGTGAGGTCAGAGTGCGGACGACGAGGGTTAAGTTTCGGGAGTTCATCTGAGGGGTGGCGTAGAAGGAGAGGGAGAGGGAGGGAGAGAGAGAGAGAGACAGAAACAGAGAGAGAGGAGGAGGAGAGACAGGGAGAGAGGAGGAGGAGAGACAGGGAGAGAGGAGAGAGAGAGAGAGAGAGAGAGAGAGAGAGAAGAGAGAGAGAGAGAGAGAGAGAGAGAGAGAGAGAGAGAGAGAGAGAGAGAGAGAGAGAGAGAGAGAGAGAGAGAGAGAGAGAGAGAAGGTGAGAGAGGAGAGAGAGAGAGAGAGAGAGAGAAACAGAGAGAGAGAGAGAGAGAAGGTGAGAGAGGAGAGAGAGAGAGACAGAGACAGAGACAGAAACAGAGAGAGAGAGAGAGAGAGAGAGAGAGAGAGAGAGAGAGAGAGAGAGAGAGAGAGAGAGAGAGAGAGAGAGAGAGAGAGAGAGAGAGAGAGAGAGACTCGGGAGCTACCATACATAAGCATCCTTTTTTGCCTCATCTATCACACTCTGTCTCACATTGTCGATCATCATTAATTATCATTAGTCTCGCTGTGAGCTGGACATCTGATGCAAAATTATGCAAACAAAGCAAATTTATTACACGACTTTCACTTTTTTTTTGTTTCCTTTCTTGTTTGTTCGTTTTTTTTTTACCTTTTTCATTCTCTTTAATTTTTCTCTTCTCTC